AAAGAAATGATTGTTGCGTGTGAAATGGAGAAAAAGTGAGAAGAAATGGGAGAGAAGAAAGAAATGATGGTTGCGTGTGAGACGGGAATGGTTTTTAAAGAAAAATAAAACAACTATAATAAAAAAGGAAGGACAATGGCTCGGCTTCATCGGCTAAACCAACTCGGCTAGGCTTAGTTGGCCAATTGGCTTGTGAATAGTACTGAGTAAACTCACTCTTTTATTTATGTAGGAAAAAATTAAAGAATACTATCCACCATGTACCTATTACTATCCATTATAATTTTGTACTAAGTTCCTTATACCACTTAATCCTATGTGCCAAATGAAGCCCCAACGTTTGGAAAAGCTAATTAAGATTGGAATACTCTTATTCTATGCTTTGTCTGTAGATACCTCAATAGACTCTAAGAAAAAGGGTGTATATTTTCCAATGCAACAGTAGTCCAAATTTTGAATTGTCTTCTTACAGTAGTCCAAATATTGACTTGGGTTGTGGAGTGTATACGGTTATTGCTCTTGCCCCGTGATAGAAGCCTTGCATTTTAACTTGTTTCTGCTAGCATGCACATAACATCATGTGGAGATCAAAAATCATTACATTCAAGGAGAAAATTCAAGTGGTTTTGACACAACATCACATGTTACAAAAAAAGGAATAATCTGGTGGGGATTAAAATCAGATATTTTGATAAAAGTTGATGTAATGTGTTGGTGAAGAGTTGTACATCTCATGAAATATATAGTTAAAATTAATTATTGACTTCAATTAAAATTCTCAACAAACAAGGGATAAATAGTACTATAATTTTGGATTGATTAAATGGATTTTATTTATTCACTTTGTTCAATTTATAAGTACTTCCATTGAAAAAAAAAAAAAATTAACTCTTATGAGGGTTATAGTGACTTAACGTTAGGATCTTAGCATTCACAAACCTTCATGTACAAATGATCTAGGCATGAATTCGAGATTTATTTGGGTTAGTAAGACGAAATGAGGTCACCCTAATCCATTGGGTTCTTTACCTTGCGTCAGCTACAACAAATTTCAACTAGCTATAATCGATCTTGGTTGACCTTTCATGTCAACCCCAAGTCGTCCTCATACTTGAGTTCGGACATCCTCATGATTAGAGTTGAAAAGTAACCAAGAGAAATAGTCAACTGTCTATTGTAGTGCTATTTTTGTCAATTTACCAAGATGTTTGGATGAATTTAGACAGTTGCCCGGACGGGCCCAAAAAAGCGGTCCTATAGCTTAGCCTGTGGTACGTGTATATAAACGCGGTTTTCCCGCTAATCGCTTTCACTTCAGCGAAGAATTCATAACAGAAAGACTGACCAAAATGTCTCTCTTTAACAAACTATTATTCACATGATTCGAACGCAGTTATATATTCACGCAATAATTTCAATCATCTTTTTATTTACTTCCAGAAACTTCTCGATTGCATTGGATCTGGAGTATATTTTCTAAAATTTGTTTGATTTTGTGCGAGATCATAGACATTGGATTACGAAATGTTGGCGCAGTGGTTATCTTTTTAGATTGATCCGTGAAATTCGTTGATTTATATGAGATTACTGACCATGGAAAGTAGCGATGATAATCACTTTTCAGTTCAATCAAATGGTGGTTCCGAACTCAAGCAACCGTTTATAATCGGTAACGCTTCTTCGAATTTCCTCATGTAATCAATGCTACGTTGGTGAAATAAATTTAGTTTTTTGTCAATTGAAGGTGTTGCTGGTGGGACTGCGTCTGGCAAAACGACCGTTTGCAATATGATAATTTCGCAACTTCATGATCAGCGGGTTATTCTTGTCAATCAAGTAAATATTTTTAGCTTTATATTGTGGTTTGTAGTAACTGTTAAATTTCAATCACACTGACTTGGAGTAACTTTTTAGTGGTGATATATATTCTTTTATTGTGTTGGGACTTGGGAGATCTTAGATACAGTTTGACATGGTTGGTGCCTCATATTTGCTAAAGGAATCTGCTTTCTGCTAATTTTTCAGTGGAAAACCAATGCGTTTTGAGTGTTAAGCGATAAAATCCCACGTCGAATAAAGATGGAAACATAGACCCCAACTTATAAGGATTTGAGCTATACCTATTAATAAAGTTGACATTTTAAGATAAAACCTCAAATCTTAATATGCTATCAGAGTTCATTAAACTTCAACGAGCAATTCCATCAGATTAAGACTAAAAAATGAGAACACAGATTTCAAGATTGATCTGTTCAAATGAACCACCATCTTGCGAGACATGTTAAGTGATAAAATCTCACATTGAATAAAGATGAAAACATAGACGAACATATAAGGAATTGGACTACTCTCTTAAAAATGTTAAACTTGGGCTACTCCTCTTAACAAGGATGACATTTTAAGATGGAACCCAAGTCTTAACACTGGGTGCATTGCTTCAATTAGGTTCTCTGATTATTAGTTTGTTTTGCCAGTTACTTAAGATTCACGTTCTTTGTTTTTTTGTGAAATGTTATGACTATTTGAAACTAGTGATTATTGTACTCTTGAAGCCCCAAACTCTGCTCTCCGGTCTAGTTAAAGAGGGTGAAGGACCAAACAAATATTTCTGGATGAGGGAAAGAATTTCATATTGTGTTCTTATACACTCATGTTGTATCCGGCAAGTCACCTGTTTAGACTTTAAACAAATGAAATTACTATTTTTTTTCTTAATTTTTTTTTTTTAATGCTTAGATTGTTCAGTATTACATTGTAGAGAACTTTCGTGACATAGTATGTGATATTTCAGGATTCATTCTATCACTCCTTGACCGATGAGCAATTACAGAAAGTCCACGAATACAACTTCGACCATCCTGGTATGCATAATGCAGATTTTTCTATGAATAAATACAACAATGGAAACTAATAGAGTCTTACACTCACGATAAATTTGGGGGTAGGCTTCTTGAATATTTTCACCATGTTCGTTTATTGCTTCATGTGCTAGAAAATCCAATGCAACTTCTTAGAATTTTGTGTGCAAAAGATTATGCATTTCATTGGCATCGTAACAATAACTCAGCTATGCACATGTTATTTCCAGATGCCTTCGACACAGAGCTTCTGCTTTCATGCATGGAGACATTAAGTCATGGAAGAGCAGTTAGCATCCCAAATTATGATTTCAAGAGACACCAAAAAATTGATCACTCCCGCATGGTACTAGACTGCCTTTTCCTTTAATATATATATCAACATGAAAACACAACTTCTAATCATGCTTCAGTTTCCTTGTCTGAGCTACATAGTTTCACTATGAAGATGCGGATTGGGCAGACTCGCTGCCACTTCAAATACAGGCATTTTTCAAGATTTCATTATCATGGTGCTTTATGCACACATGGACTTGTGATAATAACAACTGTCGACGATCTAGAAGCTAAAACCAATCAAATTTAACTATGGAACAATGCACATGGCATGGCATGCATGATTCATGAAAAATTTCTGATGATTTTGCTGCTTGAGTTATCGCTAACACTCCGTTTGGCTAATTTTTAAACAATTTATAAATCGCCAATAAATGGTCAGATTTCATTTTCAAACCACACATTCCAATGGACCAACATGTACTATTCACCACTCATGTCTATCTATTTAGATATTAACCTGTCTATAAAGACTTCTCAATCAGGGGCTTTCTATGATTAGATCAAGCAGGGTATTCCTCGTTTCCTGTTATTGGGACATTGATTTAACTTTTTTTAAGTGCCAAAATATTTGAGATGGACTATGTAGTCTACTCTTTGTATAAATGCAGGTCAA